GGGTGAATATTCATCTTTCCTATGTTTTCTGGACTACCACATTTGGAGACAGTATGGTACATTATCATTCTTTCTGGTCCAGAAAGCTTTGTGGAGCCTGCTATCTTTGTGCACATCTGAAGTCCCCACCACTTTCATTTCTGGCTTTTTGTTTGTTTTGTAATTCAGGCAGGCCTTGAGTTTGAGGTAATCCTGCAACAGACTCCCGAGCTCTGGAATTGTGGACATATTCTACCATATTTATCTTAACTCTCTGTTTCTAACCAAAGACACTGACAGTTAACAAGGTTAGACACAGAGTGTTTATCTAGGCCAGCAGTTCTCAACCAATGGGTCCTGACCCTTTTGGGGTCACATATCAGATATTTACATTATGGTTCATAATAGTAGCAAAATTACAGTTATGAAGTAGCAACAAAATAATTTTATGGTTGGGGGTCACCACAACATGAGTATTAAAGGTTGTTAGCAGTAGGGAAGGTTGAGAACCACCGCTCTAGGTAGGCAGTGAGAAATTTTGAGGTCAGGTTCTGAAAGATGAATCAAGCTTTAAGAACTGAGTCTGATGTTTAAGGCAGTTTCAGACTTTAAAATTGACAGCCAAGTGTCATTCATAAAAACATAGGAAAGGGACTCTGGGAAACAGTTGGGTTGGCTCCCACAAGGCCTGAGGGTTTTGTTTTTTGTTTTTTGTTTTTTTTTTTTCTTTTTGAGATGGGGCTTCACTGTAGTTTTGGAGCCTGTCCTGGTACCCGCTCTGTTGACTAGGCTGGCCTTGAACTCACAGAGATCCACCTGCTTCTGCCTCCCGAGTGCTGGGATTAAAGGCGTGTGCCACCACCGTCCGGCTGTTCTAACTTTTTAAAACTGTAAAAATTATTCTTAGCTTTCAGATATTCTGGGGGATATGTAGTCTTGCAGGTCAATTTTCTCCTTCTGAAGTGGTAGAGTTGGTAGGATCTTAGGTGTTACTGTAGTTCAGGCTCTATAGAACCTTTTGCGTAGCCCTGTTTGGCCTTGAACTAACAACAATCCTCCTGACACATAAGCTTTCAGTTTTTGAGTTTGAAAGAAGTCTTTTCAAGAAAGGATGACTTTGGGGCAATGAATGGTGTAGCAGGTAAAGATACTCACTTCCAAGTTAGTCTGATGACCTTAGTTTGAGCCTCAGGACCCATTCAGTAGAAGGAGAGAACCAAGTTCTGCAAGTTGTCCTCTAGACATGGCACCTGTACAGGCACACCTGTGCACAAACACTAAATAAATGAAAATGAAAAAAGATGTGATATTTCCTTTTTTTACGTTATCTTTCCTTGGCTGTACCTGCTCCCCACTCCCAAAATAACTTTGGGTAAATAATTGTGTTTTGGAAGTAAAATGTCTCTAGTTGGATTTTAAACTCATATGTTTCATTGGACTTCTTGCCCTTTCCTCCCTTCCTCCTCCCTTCTTCCATTTGACTTGTGTGCTGAGTTCCAGGCACATGCTAGGTGTTAAGTTCACACTCTCTAGGATTTGTGATCTGTAATGATAAGTGACTACTGAAGTATGTCCAAAGTGATCTGGGATCTCTTAGGTTTAAACACAAGACATATTTGTTCTGGGTTTATCTTAACCTCTCATGCTTGTGTACCCCCCTTTTTTTCTTCTTTAGATGGTATTCATTATGATCTGGAACTTACATAGATCTACCTGTCTCTGTTTGCCAAGTACTGGAATTAAAGACGTACAACCACACCTGGCCTTTTGTTGTTGTTTTTTCTCTTGAACCCCACCATGTTTTTTTGTTTGTTTTTTTGTTTTGTTTGTTTGTGCACTAGATTGACCTCCAACTTTCTGTGATCCTCCTGCCTCAGCCTCCTGATTGTTGCAGCTATGGCCATAGGCCACCATGCCAGACCACATCTAAACTCCATAAGGAAAGCAGCTGTAAGCTGTGTAGTTACCTGTCAGTTACACTGTTCAGTCAGAGATCTGTACAATAGTAGATAAGTATATAGATGTTTGCTAAATTAAATTGCTTAAATGCCCCAAAGGAATTAACTGAAAGGAAAAGTTATGTGGGTGGAAATTAATTAGCTGATTTACTTACTGTTTTTGTTTTGTTGTGGAAGAATTTAATTTAGCCACAATAAATTTGTTTCTTACTGTACCTTTTTATTGGTATCATCCTTGTTTTATAGGTGAAAGTAGTTAGGGTCAAAGGTTAAGTAATTTCCTGACTTGGAATTTGGGATTAACCTACTTCTTAAGGCTTCATAAGTTTTTCTTTGTACTTTATTCCCAGGTGTACAACAAACTCTCAGTCACAGAAGCCATTTACAGTAGTGTTAAAATGAATATTTGTTAGTCACAGACTACATAGATGATGCTGATCTCATAAGATAATAATGGAGCACTAATTGAACTTCATAGGACAACACACTGCTGTAATATTTGATGGTGCTGGTGTAAACCACTCTGTGAGGCCAGTCACACAGAATTATGTCTCATGCAATAACTACAGTACATAATACTTGGTAATGATGACAAATGACTTACTAGTTTATGCATAACGTTTACTAGACTATATTTTTTCATTTTAGTGTATGTGTTCCTTCTAGTGAAAAGTTAACAGTGAAATATGTCATAATATGAAATATGAATATAGTATGCAGTGTTAAGCTGGAAGCAGCCTTGTAGATGTCATATTTACAGTAATTCTTACTGTAATCAAGAGTGAGCATCATGACTAGCTATACCATCCATATTTGTATAAGTACACGCTGATGTTCAAACAGTGATAATAGCCTAAAGATGCATTTCTAAGAGGATCATGATTGTATTTAGAGAGTGGCCTGTGTAGGTTCTCACTGGTGTCTTACCCTCATTTGTTCGGTGGGATGCCATCATTCTCTCAAATGGTATTAAGGTAATGTTTAACTAGTACCATTCAATGAAATAATTGTTGGCTACTCCTCCCCAAAACAAGTTCATTCTCTAACTTTGACTGTTAGAACTCTGGAACTCATTGTAGTTCAGGCTGGCCTTTGAACTTTCAATTTTCTTACCTTAGCTTCCCAAGTGCTAGGATTGCAGACATTGTGTTGCCATGTCTGGCATCTAAGTTAGTGGTTCTTCAAATTTTGTATATTGGTTACTTTTTTCTTTTTTTACTTAATGGTGTCTATGTTGGCATTTGCCTCTCCCAGGGTAGGAAGAAGAGATGAGACAAGGACTCAATGCTTCCCAGGCTGACCCTGAAATCAGAGTGGTTTTTTTTCCCTCAAACCACCTCCTGCTTGTCTTCAGGCACTAGGATCACAGTACAACCCCACCCAGCACTTTTACCATTTCTACTTTTACTTTGTTGTTGTTGTTATTNTCACACACACACACACACACACACACACAACTTTGTGGTCCTGACCTTCTTGGAACTCAGTGGACCAGACTGGCCTAGGATTCAGAGATCTGCCTGCCTCTGCCTCTGGAGAGTGCTGGGATTAAAGATGTGTGCTGCCATGCCTAGCAATAAATTAAAAAAAAAAATCCAAGAATCGTGAAATGATAAAGAATTCTAGAACTGAAGGAAACTGATTATTAAATGTCAGTAGTATTACTGGCGAGATGGCGCAGTGTAGCTAAAGGCATTGATGTCAAGCCTGATGACTTGAGTTCCAAAGTTTGGATCTCTGAGACCCACATGATGAAAGTTGTCCTCTTGTCTTTGTACACTGCAGTGACATACATATGCCTCTCAACCACCAATGTGATAAAAAAATTTAAGACAGCAAGTAGATTTAGGAGCATATATAAGCTGAAGAAATATTTAGTGAGGTAGAATGTAAGAGGAAAATTCCCTACTGAGGTGTTGGGACAAAAAGATGGTCGGTCTGTAGCTGTAAGTATCCATAATTAAATTCTAGAAGAGTTCTGACAAAGAATAATGGCGGAGAAAAGTTTTTAACAAGCTGTTTGAGAAGTCTCCAAACTAATAAAACCCACCAAACTACAAATTAAGGAAACTATCAGCATTTAGCAGAAAATATACGAAGCCAACACTAGCTACTAAGTTATAATGTAACACTGCTGAAAGCTGTTGTGGGATGCTGTTTATTGTTAAGGAAATGTGCACACACATCTATTCCTCCCAAATAGGGGAATGACAAAAGTCCAATATGGTAAGCCACTGAGTTAGTATGTGTTTAATTTTATGTGTGTGAGTGTTTTGCCCATATGTATGTCTGTGCACCACTTGTGTGTTTAGTGCCCATGGAAGTCAGAAGAGGGCACACACTGGAACTGAAGTTAAAATTGTGAGCTGCCATGTGGATGCTAGGAGTCTAAAGGGAGATTCTTTAGAAGAGCAACCAGTGCTCTTAACCATTGAGCCATCTCTCCAGCCCCAAACCAATACATTTTATTGAGGTCATTTACAGGAGTGTGTGTGAAGGATTACTTACAGGAGCAGGAATGACTCAGAAAGTGTCACCAAAGCTCACCCCAGCATGGGTGCTAGCTCACAAAGTCTGGGAACCTGCAGACAGCTCAGCAGATTGGAGAATGTTCTTTCTAAGTGGCTCGATTGGTTGATCTCCGCTTTATTTGGGCGGCTCAATTCATCTGAGTGTCTCTTGACAGTCATTACAGTTTATATATGATGGGGAGGAGGGACCTAGTATAGCTGGTCAGTTTCAGAGACTTTCTAAAACCTTTGAGTTTATTTCTTGCATTTACTGACTTTTTTTGTTGTTCTGGGGTTTTATTGTTGGTTTTTGTTTTTTAGTTAATAACTCAGAAAGGCCTAAATTTGAAATATTCCTGTCTTTACCATGGGTACTTAGCCTGAAGATATGCTCAACCATTCCTGATCCATGCCATTCATTTTTTTTTTTTGGTATGCTGTTTTATTGTATGCTACAGCCAGTGTATATAAAATAGTTAAACGTTGTGAAACAGAAATCCATGAAGATTCAGAGAGGTAGATGTTAAGGATTGACAAATAAAGACTGTGTATTATGCCACGTGTTAGAGAAGCTTCTGTACAGACTTCAGAATATCCACTGGTTCATGAAAAGTGGTTTAAGAAACCTCAAGATAGCTGACTACAAAAAGGAGCAGACTTTCTGGGGTCTGAAGGGATTTGTACTGGAAGACACTCTGGTCAGCAGAGGGTCATGTTGAGCATTCTGCAGACAGAACTGTTTCAAGTCTGCAGCTGCCTGGGAAACCTTCACGCGGTTGAGCCCGGCTTCCAGCCGGAGCTGTTGAACCACCTTCTTAATGGCGGCGACGCTAGAGGAACCCGACATGGCGCTCGGGACAGCCGTGCCGACTCCATGCCATTCATTTTAAATGGCAATTAAAATGTTTTAAATTATTATAAAGTACTTAGGAGTTCTGGTTGGGTTTTTGCTTATTTATTTACTATTGTTAAAAAAATGAAATAAACACACACACACACACACACACACACACAAGGCCTTGTTATGTAATCCTGACTGGCCAAATTTGCCTACGCCTGCAGGGATTAAAGGTGTGCACCATCATGCCTAACCAAGGGTTGCTGTTAATATACCCATCTGTAATCCAGTTTACTGGATTAATATTATTTTTAATATTGTTTATATAGTTTAATACTTTTATTAATTCTTGGAGTTTTTTTTCCATGGACAGTTATATATCATCCATAAGATACATTTGCTTTTTCTTTAATTGTTTTTATTTTCTGTTTTTAGAAACAAGGTTTCTCTATAGCACTGGCTGTCCTGGAACTTGCTCTGTAGACCAGGCTGGCCTCAAACTCAGAGATCCACCTGCCTCTGCCTCCTGGGTGCTGGGATTAAAGTGTACTACCATCCCCAGTTCATAGTGTACAAATTTTTAACCTGACAGTGTCACTGACCTGTTTCCAAGTTGTGTCAGTTTAGGTTGTTCTAGGCAGTGTTTGAATGTGCCTTTTGCTCCATTTTCTTGCCATTGGTTGATGTGGTCAATTTGTTATTTGTCTAATTGTGATTGTAGGGTTTTCAGTCTAGAATGAATAATGAGGTTGGGCACCATCTTGTGTCTTATTATTGATGCCATCTTTTGTGAGAATCTGATTAAGTCTTGACAACTTGTGTATTGGATTATTTTTCTTAGTGACTTGTAGGCATTATTTATGTATCCTGAATATATTTGTTTGGATATATGCTCTGGATAGATATATGGTACAGGTGTCTCTTGACTCGTTAATGCTTTTAACTATTGTCTTGGTTTTGCTTTTACTTTTTATTTTTTAGATTGTGTCTTCCTATGGAGCCCAGACTGCCTTGAGCTCATGAGTCTCCACCAGCTCTAGGTGCTGGGATTTACAGACTTGTACTACCATACTCCATCTTACTATGATATCTTGTTAAACAGATCTTTTTCTTTTTCTTTGCCTTGCTCCACTTTTGAAGTAGTAGAATTAAAAAAAAAATACTGTATGGTTTGTGGTTTCCATGGTTCTGTTTAAGGAAAGCCTTTCTATTATGAAGTCATGCAGTTAGCATTTGTGTAATATAAAGCTCTCTAGACGACTTATCTTCCACATTTAGGTCTGTAATCCACAGAGAATGTATGCATGGGCTCGGTGATGGTTTAGTTCTTATTTTTCTTTTTTATCCCGTTATGGATGCTCAGTTATTCTTTTTGTTTGTTTGTTTTTTGAGACAGGGCTTCTCCGTAGCTTTGGAGCCTGTCCTAGAACTAGCTCTTGTAGACCAGACTGGCTTTGAACTCAGAGAGATCCTTCTCTCTGCCTTCTGAGTGCTGAGATTAAAGGCGTGTACCACTAGCACCCAGTTTTTTTTTTTTTTTTGTCGTTTGTTTGTTTGTTTTGGAGAAATGCCACTTCCTTGACACAAGGGCAAGATCTGTGATCTGTTTCTGGACTTTTTGTCTAGTAGTGTCTTTTCCAGAAACAGGAATTATTGATGTAAATAGTGCAAATTAGACAATAGGAATAAATAAAATTAGTAGTTTTTGTAAGAAATAGATGATGAACCATTTAGAAATAAAGATTGTTATATTGGATTCTTGGTCAAGAGTTAAGAGTTGAGTGTGGTGGCACACTCAGATAGATAATCAATTCTGGCATTGATGAAGGTAAGGAGGACAGCCCATATGAAACCTCAAAACAGCGGAAACGGCTGCAGAGATGGCTCAGCCATTAGGGGCAGTTGCTGCTCTGGATGACCTGGTTCTGAGTCCTAGCACCTGAATATGGGCTGTATTCAGTTCCAGTGGATTTGATACCTTCTTCTGGCCTCTGTGAGCACCAGACACACACAGTGTGCACAGATATACACACAGGCAAAACACCCATGCATATAAAGTAAGGATAAAATGGAAAAAAAAAAACCAAAACAAATCTCACTTAAAATTTTGGTTTTATTTTATTTTTTTTAAAATATTTATTTATTATGTATACAATATTCTATCTGCATGTATGCCTAAAGAGAGCACCAAACCTCATTACAGATGGTTGTGAGCCACCATGTGGTTGCTGGGAATTGAACTCAGGACCTTTGGAAGAGCAGGCAATGTTCTTAACCGCTGAGCCATCTCTCCAGCCTCCTGGTTTTATTTTTTGAGACAGGGTTTCACTGGATAACAGTCCTGGCTGTCCTGGAACTCACTCTGTAGACCAGGCTGACCTTCAATTTACAAAGAAGCAAGCACTTGTCTCTGCTTGTGTAGTGCTGGGCTGTAATCTCATTTTTAAAAAGGCTTACTTAAAACACAGGAACTCAGGAAATTTGAAAGTAAGAGATGGGGAAAGAACTACCAGCAAGTCCTGAGAATTCTAAATTTACTGATAAAAGATGATAGGTGTATGTAAACCAGGGCATTTCCATTTTCTTGGGAAGACGTGGACGTCTCAGTTTACTTTCAAGCATTGCTGGGCACAAGGCCTTTATGCCCTTGTTCTTTAGTGGCTCTTAAAGCTCAAGCCTGTGGGACCAGAGCAGAGATTTGTTTTTCAGGATGGCCTTGTCCTTTCTATCCGCTCGAGAATTATCTTTTTTCTTGCTTTTTTTTTTTTTTTTTTTTTTTTTTTTTGTGCTT